GATCTGTCCGGAAACGGTGCCGGAGGCCGCTCTGGGCTCCTCTGGTCACCTCCCCCGGGGCCGGTTTTGTGAGGATGTCTCAAGCGAGGGCGCCGGTTTGGGATTCGTCACCGGATCCACCGGATCTGTCCGGAAACGGTTCCGGAGGCCGCTCTGGGCTCCTCTGGGCACCTCCCCCGGGGCCGGTTTTGTGAGGATGTCTCAAGCGAGGGCGCCGGTTTGGGATTCGTCACCGGATCCAGCGGATCCCGCGGATCCAGCGGATCTGTCCGGAAACGGTGCCGGAGGCCGCTCTGGGCTCCTATGGGCACCTCCCCCGGGGCCGGTTTTGTGAGGATGTCTCAAGCGAGGGCGCCGGTTTGGGATTCGTCACCAGATCCACCGGATCTGTTCGGAAACGGTGCCGGAGGCCGCTCTGGGCTCCTCTGGGCACCTCCCCCGGGGCCGGTTTTGTGAGGATGTCTCAAGCGAGGGCGCCGGTTTGGGATTCGTCACCGGATCCAGCGGATCCAGCGGATCCACCGGATCTGTCCGGACACGGTGCCGGAGGCCGCTCTGGGCTCCTCTGGGCACCTCCCCCGGGGCCGGTTTTGTGAGGATGTCTCAAGCGAGGGCGCCGGTTTGGGATTCGTCACCGGATCCAGCGGATCCACCGGATCTGTCCGAAAACGGTGCCGGAGGCCGCTCTGGGCTCCTCTGGGCACCTCCCCCGGGGCCGGTTTTGTGAGGATGTCTCAAGCGAGGGCGTCGGTTTGGGATTCGTCGGCGGATCCACCGGATCCACCGGATCCAGCGGATCTGTCCGGAAACGGTGCCGGAGCCGCTCTGGGCTCCTCTGGGCACCTCCCCCGGGGCCGGTTTTGTGAGGATGTCTCAAGCGAGGGCGCCGGTTTGGGATTCGTCACCGGATCCACCGGATCTGTCCCGAAACGGTGCCGGAGGCCGCTCTGGGCTCCTCTGGGCACCTCCCCCGGGGCCGGTTTTGTGAGGATGTCTCAAGCGAGGGCGCCGGTTTGGGATTCGTCACCGGATCCAGCGGATCCAGCGGATCCACCGGATCTGTCCGGAAACGGTGCCGGAGGCCGCTCTGGGCTCCGCTGGGCACCTCCCCCGGGGCCGGTTTTGTGAGGATGTCTCAAGCGAGGGCGCCGGTTTGGGATTCGTCGGCGGATCCACCGGATCCACTGGATCCACCGGATCTGTCCGGAAACGGTGCCGGAGGCCGCTCTGGGCTCCTCTGGGCACCTCCCCCGGGCCGGTTTTGTGAGGATGTCTATAAAGCGAGGGCGCCGGTTTGGGATTCGTCGGCGGATCCACCGGATCCACCGGATCCACCGGATCTGTCCGGAAACGGTGCCGGAGGCCGCTCTGGGCTCCTCTGGGCACCTCCCCCCGGGCCGGTTTTGTGAGGATGTCTCAAGCGAGGGCGCCGGTTTGGGATTCGTCACCGGATCCACCGGATCTGTCCGGAAACGGTGCCGGAGGCCGCTCTGGGCTCCTCTGGGCACATCCCCCGGGGCCGGTTTTGTGAGGATGTCTCAAGCGAGGGCGCCGGTTTGGGATTCGTCACCGGATCCACCGGATCTGTCCGGAAACGGTGCCGGAGGCCGCTCTGGGCTCCTCTGGGCACCTCCCCCGGGGCCGGTTTTGTGAGGATGTCTCAAGCGAGGGCGCCGGTTTGGGATTCGTCACCGAATCCACCGGATCTGTCCGGAAACGATGCCGGAGGCCGCTCTGGGCTCCTCTGGGCACCTCCCCCGGGGCCGGTTTTGTGAGGATGTCTCAAGCGAGGGCGCCGGTGTGGGATTCGTCACCGGATCCAGCGGATCCGTCCGGAAACGGTGCCGGAGGCCGCTCTGGGCTCCTCTGGGCACCTCCCCCGGGGCCGGTTTTGTGAGGATGTCTCAAGCGAGGGCGCTGGTTTGGGATTCGTCACCGGATCCACCGGATCTGTCCGGAAACGGTGCCGGAGGCCGCTCTGGGCTCCTCTGGGCACCTCCCCCGGGGCCGGTTTTGTGAGGATGTCTTAAGCGAGGGCGCCGGTTTTGGATTCGTCACCAGATCCACCGGATCTGTCCGGAAACGGTGCCGGAGGCCGCTCTGGGCCCCTCTGGGCACCTCCCCCGGGGCCGGTTTTGTGAGGATGTCTCAAGCGAGGGCGCCGGTTTGGGATTCGTCACCGGATCCACCGGATCTGTCCGGAAACGGTGCCGGAAGCCGCTCTGGGCTCCTCTGGGCACCTCCCCTGGGGCCGGTTTTGTGAGGATGTCTCAAGCGAGGGCGCCGGTTTGGGATTCGTCACCAGATCCACCGGATCTGTCCGGAAACAGTGCCGGAGGCCGCTCTGGGCTCGTGCTCTTCGCGCCGGGGGTGAGGATGACGTGAGTTCCACAGAAACTCCCTCAAATCAGTGGTAGTGGTAGTGGTAGTGGTAGTGGTAGTGGTAGTGGTAGTGGTAGTGGTAGTGGTAGTGGTAGTGGTAGTGGTAGTGGTAGTGGTAGTGGTAGTGGTAGTGGTAGTGGTAGTGGTAGTGGTAGTGGTAGTGTAGTAGTAGTAGTAGTAGTAGTAGTAGTAGTAGTAGTAGTAGTAGTAGTAGTAGTAGTAGTAGTAGTAGTAGTAGTAGTAGTAGTAGTAGTAGTAGTAGTAGTAGTAGTAATCGTCGTCGTCGTCGTCGTCGTCGTCGTCGTCGTCGTCGTCGTCCGTCCGTCGTCGTCGTCCGTCCGTGGTCGTTGTTGTCGTCGTCGTCGCTGTTGTCGTCGTCGTCGTCGTCGTCGTCGTCGTCGTAGTGTAGTATAGTAATTAAGTAGTAGTGGTAGTAGTATAGTAAGCAGTCTTAAGAGTAGTAGCAATTAGCATAGCAGTAAGCAGTAGCATAGCAGTACAGTAGTAGTAGTAGTAGTAGTAGCGAGTATGGGAGTAGGAAGTAGTAGTAGGAGTAGGAGTAGGAGTAGGAGTAGGAGTAGGAGTAGGAGTAGGAGTAGTAGTAGTAGTAGTAGTAGTAGTAGTCGTAGTAGTAGTAGTAGTAATAGTAGTAGTAGGTGGTAGTAGTAGTAGTAGTAGTAGCAGCAGCAGCAGCAGTAGTAGTAATAGTAATGGTAGTAGTGTTAGTAGTTGTAGTAACCGTGGCATTACAAATGATAGTAGTAGCTGATAGTAGTAGTAGTGGTAGTAGTAGTAGTAGTAGTAGAAGCAGTAGTAGTCCTAGTATTAGTGTTAGTAATAATCGTAATAATGATAGTTGGATGATGCATTTTAGTATTATTCCTATTAACACTCCTCTTCTTGATCAGCATCATTCTGCATACCCGTAGTTTCATGAATGTAATTCCTATTACTAATATTTCCCTGTCTAGGCTCTGCCTAGAAGGGTTCTTACTCTCTTTCTTAAAAGGGCCGGGCAGTGGAAAGCGCCCTGGGCGGTTCCCCCAGTATCCGCCCCGCGGTTCCCCCAGTTACGTCCCCTTAGCTTAGCGTTGCTTATCTCGTCTTAGCTTAGCTTATTTCATCTTAGCTTACCTTGGCTTCATCTTAGCTCAGGTTTATCTTAGCTTAGCTTACCTTAATCTTAGCTTCACTGAGCTTTAGCATAGCAGAGCACAGCATAGCATAGCATAGCATAGCGTAGCATAGCATAGCGCAGCATAGCATATCATAGCATAGCATGGGTGTAATTCCCTACCTAGGCTCTGCCTAGAGGGTTAGCTTAGCTTAGCTTAGCTTGGCTTAGCATAGCGCAGCGCTGCATTAGCATAGCATAGCATAGCATACCATAGCCAAGCATAGCATAGCATAGCATAGCACAGCATAGCATAGCATGCCATAGCATAGCATAGCGTAACATAGCGCAGCTTAGCATAGCATAGTTTTGCATAGCACAGCGCAGCATGACATAGCATATATTAGCATAGCATAGCATAGCATAGCATAGCATAGCATAGCATTAGCATAGCGCAGCATAGCATACCATATCATAGCATAGCATAGCGCAGCATAGCATGGCATAGCATAGCATAGCATAGCATAGCAAGTAATGCTGCTTTCCTAGGGGCTCCAACTTCTAGGTAGGATCGCACTAGGGTAATTGGTATTAAGTATACTGATATGACAACAGCTCTTGTTCATACAAATAGAACCATCGTCAACATTCACATGGTCAACTTCAACAACATCAACATAAACTTCCTCATCAAATACAACATCAACATCACCATAAACCTATACCTCATTATGTTGTCAGCAGCACCACCATTAGCGCCATACTTGTGATTATCGTAAGCATCATCATTGTAACTTTCATTATCATCATCAGCAGCATCAGCATCATCAGCATCATCATCAGAGTCGATAACGTAATCACCACAATAGTGATCACAATCGTGAGCGTCATCAATATCATCATGAGCAGCATCATCATCATCGGCATCATCATAATCATCGTCATCATCACCATTATCATCATCGTCGTCCTCCTCCTTATCATCATCATCGTCGTCATCATGTTCGTCATCACCATCATCACCATGATCATCATCGTCGTCGTCCTCATCATCATCATCGTCATCATCATCGTCGTCGTGTCGTCGCCATCATCATGTTCATCGTTATCCTCATCGTCGCGAGAAATGTCGTCACTATCATCGCCATCAACAACATCATCGCAGCGCTATAACCACCGCCATCATCATCGCCATCCAATCATCAAGCTTCCCTTTCTCCACCATCAGTCGCCGACCTCCTCCTCCTCCTCCTCCTCCTCCTCCTCCTCCTCCTCCTCCTCCTCCTCCTCTCCATCATCGTCCGTCGAGAAAGGGAGACGAGCTGGGAAGGAGGGAAAGAAAAGGCAGGAGGCACAGGAGGATGGGGAGGGAGAGGAGGAACAGGAGGGGGATGGGGGAGGACGACGACAACAAGGACGTGAGGAGGAAATGGGAGGATGACGCCGGCGCCGACGAGCGAGCGGAAAGCAGACGACGGGAGCGCTGAGGCGAGCGGAGGAGCGCCTCGTCACCGGCCACTTGTCCATGAAGGTCTGGTACCTTCGGCGGCAGACGAGGCGGCGCGGGCGAGAAGCCAAATGGCGCACCAGGTGGACGAGGAGCAGCAGGAGAAGAGCCACCTGGGACGACGCCGGCCATCGAACTCGACCGCCCGACCTCTCGTGGAGCGCAGTCTGACCGAGTCTCGATGCGACCCCAGCCGTGACCCTGTCTGGAGACCTTGTCCAGGCCTCCTAGATGGAGTCGGAGTAGATGGGGTGGGAGGATCGCGCCGCAGCGCCGATACATCGCCGACGCATCGGCGACGCATCGGCGATGCACCAGCGATGCACCGGCGATGCATCGTCGACGTGGGCGATACATCGGCGACGTCGACGTGAAGCAAATCGGGCTCCACATCGAGCCGCGTCGGCGATGCATCTGCGAAGCGGCGCGATTCTCCGACCCCATCTGCCCCGACCCCATCCAGGAGGCCTAGATTGTCGTCATCGTCGTCGTCGTCGCCGTCGCCATCGTCATCGTCGTCGTCGTCGTCGCACTCGTCCGTGGCCGGCATCGTCTGCAGCAGCAGGTGTATCGGGGCCCCGCCGGGCGGCGCACGCCCTCACATAGGTGGCGTTGGAGCTGGCCTCGTTCCCGGCCTTCTGGCCCTTCTTGGCGCCCACCTGCGGGGCGCCCCGCGCCCCGAAGGCACGCGGGGGGGATTGCCGAAGGGAGGAGGGAGAGGGGGAGGAGGAGGAGGAGGAGGAGGAGGAGGAGGAGGAGGAGGAGGAGGAGGAGGAGGAGGAGGAGGAAGAGGAGGAGGGGGAGAAGGAGAAGGAGAAGGAGAACGCCTCTATGGCGCGAGACGCAAAAACGCAGGGAAAGAAAATGCACGAGGGAAGGAAGTCCAAAGAGGCCATCTCCTCTTCGTCCTCGTCCTTCCCATCCTCCTCACCATTGTTATCTTCATCGTTCTCTTCTTCATCATCATCACCACCACCACCCGCAGCATCGTCATCATCATCACCACAAGCATCATCATTTTCATAATTAACAACAGTAACAAGCACAACAACAATCAGTTTAGACAATTCGCTCTTATCTGCTCGCGTGCCATTCAACAAGATGATCCCCAAACCTTCGATACCCTCCCTCATCGTTTTCGATAGTACTCCCTTGGGGGGTATGGAAGCGTAAGTGGTGCAGCCCCACAGGCGTAGAAAAAGAGGACGGGTGGAAGGGCCTATAGGGAGGGCGCTCCCGCCTGAGACTTCCTCGCCATTCACTCACAGACGAGGCTCACGCTTGATAATTCCTCAATATTCAGGCCTGGGGAGCCAAACAACGGGCGACAGTTACATATATTACGATGACCTACTCGTAGTTAAAGGCGTTCCCGCTTGAGACTCTCCCAATTCACTCACAGACGAGGCTCCCGCCGAATACTTCCTCCATATTCAACCCTGGAAAACCCAAAAATGACGACGGTTACAAGTATCAGGATGACCCGCTCTGCTGAAAAACATACGAGTGCGGCCACATAGAGAGGGTGTTCCCGCCTGAGACTTCCTCGCCATTCACTCACAGACGAGGCTCGTGAAAGCCTGGGGAGCCCAAAAAAGAACGAAATCTACAAGTATCTCGTTCGGATTCGAAAACACGAGGTGCGGGGCCCAGAAGGAGGGTGCTCCCGCGGGAGACTTCCCCGCCATCAGCACACGGACGAAGCTCCCGCCTGGGACCTGCGAGTGAATGAGTGGGTGAGTGAATGAGTTGGTGAGTGAGTGAATGCATAAGGAGTGGGCGAGTGAGGGAGTGAGTGAGTGCGTGGGTGGGCGGTTGGATAAGGTAGTGATGATGATGATGATGATGATGATGATGATGATGATGATGATGATGATGATGATGATGATAAAATGATGGTGATGATGATGATGGCGATGATGGTGACGACGATGATGGTCCAATGATGATGATGATGATGTGGCGGTGGTGAGGATGTTCATGTGGGTGTGTGAGTGGGTGAGTGAGTGGAAGAGTGACTGCGTGACTGAGTGAGTGAGTGAGTGAGCGAGAAGAGAGGGGGTGAGGGGAGAGACCGCGCGGGGAGCGAGCGGAGAAAACAGGAAACCCGCAGAGGATGTGGAAAATCAGAATTGAACAAATCCCAAATCCAGCTGGTTCTCCAAATCCAGCTGATTCTAAGTGTGGCCATATGGGATCTGATTAAAATCTCATCAGCAATGAGCAGATCCCAGACCCAGCTGATTCCGAATGGATTCCTGTTGGAAAATGATTAGAATTAAGCAGATCCCAGATCCGGCTGATTCCCGTTGGCTTCCTGTGGAATCTAGAAAAATCTACATAGAATGGAGCAGATCCCAGATCCAGCTGTCTCCCAGCCAGTTCCTATTGGATCGTATCAAAACCCAACTCGAACTGAGCCAATCCCAGATCCAGCTGATTCCACTTGGGTTCATCATGGAATCTGGATATTAAAATATAACTACTCCGACGGGAAGACCCCACATTAGAAGACCCCACGAAGCCTCCCAAAGAGGCGTCTTGTCCACGACCAGGGTTGGCCCCAAAAATACTCCAAGAAGCCATCGAGAGACCGCCTCCTCGTCCTCATCCTCCCCTCTTCATCCTCCTCCTCCTCCCCCTCCTCCAACTTCTTCTCGCTCGCCACGAACACACAAACATATAGCACCAGCGATACAATGTGGGCCGGCGGAATGAGCGAAGCGATTAAATATAACTACTCCGACGGGAAGACCCCACATTAGAATACATGTCCCTTGCCCTGCCGATGTTCCCATTCGCCTTGGCGGAGGCCCCCCTCCCGCCCTCTGTTGCGCCTCCTCCTCCTCCTCCTCCTCCTCCTCCTCCTCCCTCCTCCTCCTCCTCCTCCTCCTCCTCCTCCTCCTCCTCCTCCTCCTCCTCCTCGTTATCTTCGCCATCCGTTTCCCCCTCCTTCTCGCCCTCCTTTTCGTCCTCCACCCCGTTTGATCATCCTTTTGCCCCCCTCCGCCATACAAACGAATCCTGTACAGGCCGTGTCGAGACCGGATGTGTGAAAAAATCCCATACAAGCCGCGCACGCTATTTATAGGATCACATACAAGCCGTGTACGCTCTGTTTTGGATCCCATGCAGCCCGTGTACGTTTTGTATGGTATCCTGTACAAACCGCATCGGATCTGTAGAGGATCCCACACAGGCCGTGTAGGTTCTGTAAAAGATCCTGTGTAAACCGCATCGGATCTGTATAGGACCACATACAAGCCGCGCGCGTTCCGTAAAGGACCTGTACAGATCGTATCAGGACGATTAGAAGATCCCACACAGACCGTGTCGGCTCTGTATAGAACGCTGTACAAGACGCATCAAACCTTTATAAGATCACATACAAGCAGTGTAAGATGTGTATGCGATCCTACAGAAGCTGTGTAGGCTCTGTATGGGATCCTACACAGAAGATCCCATACAGGCCGTGTAGGCTCCGTTTCGGGTCCTATACAGACATATCGGATATGTATAGGATCCTACACAAGCCGCGTCGGATCTGTACAAGACCCCACGCAAGTCGCATCGGATCTGTATGGGATGCTTCACAGGCCGCGTTGGCCCTGTTTCTGATACCCCATACAAGCCGCCTCGGATTTGCATGAGATCCCTTACGAACCACATCGGATATGCCAAGGATCCCATACAAATCGTGTACGCTCTGTATAGGACCTTGTACAAGCCGCATCGGATATTCTTCTCTTTTCTGGGGGGGAGCTGCCAGTCTGGGGTTCCCGCAGCTTGCGTCGGCTCGCCAATCGCCCACAGCTCGCGTCGGCACGCTAAGAGGAGCCAGCCTGAGGGCGAGGCGGCGGCGGAGGAGAAAGAGCAAAATTGGTGATAAAGCCAGACTGCGCCTCACCCGAACAGGAAGCCGAAGTCGAGACCATCATTGAACCGGAACGACACCCACCGAGGAGAATCCCACACCGAGTGAACCAATCAACTTAATCGTGAAAAGAGCCCCCTGTTGCCAGCCATGCACAATGACGAGACCTTGTCGAGGCGAGGCATTCGCTGCGCACAATACAGCCAGTGCATCGACCAATACTCCGACCACAATGACAAACATCACCGTACAATAGAGCGCCGGAAACTGACCACTTGTCAACAGCACGAAGAATGCGAGAGACCAATCGAGTCCTGGACAATGCCTAAGGTGAAGACGCAGCCGAATACAAAACCAATGATGGAAAAAAAGGGAGGCGACGTCGGCGGCGACGAGCTCGCGCGAGCAAACGACGAAGACGAGCGGCCCCCTCGGGAAGGCGGCAACACCTCAGCGGCTAGATCGCCCGCATCACTACCGGCGCCCGGGAGCGCCTCAGCGCCCTTGCACTCTCGCGGCCCACGCCGCTTGCCCCTGCGCCGTCGGGCGCCCGCGGAGGAGCATGGCAGCGCGCACTGGCCCGAGCCCTTGTCGAACTCGAGCTCTGTCGCGGCAAGCGGTCCCCTGCTGGGACGGGACCAGACCCTGCCCCTCCGCGACCTGCGCGATGGACCCGGGGCTCGCCGCAGGAGGAGGAGGAGGAGGAGGAGGAGGAGGAGGAGGAGGAGGAGGAGGAGGGAGGGAGGAGGAGGAGGGAGGGAGGAGGGGGAGGGAGGAGGGAGGAGGTAGGAGGGAGGGCGGGAGGAGGGAGAGGGAGGAGGGAGAGGGAGAGTAGGGAGGGGGGAGGAGGGAGGGAGGAGAGGAGGAGGAGGGAGGAGGAGGGAGGAGGGAGGAGGAGGGAGGAGGAGGGAGGAGGGGGATCGAGGCCGAGATCGTGACAGGCTCCGAGGCGTCGAAGCAGCCGCCCCTGTCGCCCAGCGCCGCGCGGCCAGCGCCCGCGCTCTCGCTGCCCGTGGTCTGGACCTCGCTGGCCTTGCCGATGCCCCTGCTGGAAGGTCGGCCGCACGGCCGCTGCGTCGTCACGTCGTCGGCGCCATTGTCCTCGAGGCCTTTGCCGTTGACCATCTCGTCGTTGCTCCTGTCCTCTCTGCCCTTGCCTGTGACCTCCTGCTCTGCGCCCTCCTGGCCCGTGCCGATGTCCGCATCGTCGTCACCTGGTTCGTTGTCGCTGTCGGCATCGGATCTCGCCATCTGGCACTCGATGGCGCAGCGCAGTGAGCTGAGGAAAATCTCGACCTCGAGCAGGCCGATGGGGATGGTGCGGCCCCCCTGCCACATGCCGACTGAGTCCAAGAACTCTGCACCACCAGGGGGGGATCTCGAAGGGGCGGAACTTGGAAAGGCACGGTCTCCCACGGCGCTCTCGCGACCACGTCCATCTCGCCGGGCGCCTCCCTCGGCGAGGGGGCCCAGACGGGCTTCTCCACGGGGCCCCAATCCAGCTCGCTGATCAGCTCCGTCGGCGACGGGCCCAGGCCGAGGGTCGCCGAGGCACTCCCAGCTGGCGCCGCCGAGGCCAGCGTGTCCAGCGTCACCATCGGGGCCGCCTCGTCCTGTCGAATGATGATCGCCACGCGGTCGAGCTACGGAGCGATGGGGACGATCTCCAAGGCCGCCTTGCGAAGCTGATCTCGCGGTCTCCAGCTCCTCCCTGATTCCCTCGCTCTTCTTCCGAGGGTGGGATGTCCAGGTGGGCCTCCGACGCGGGCGGCAATGTCTGTTTCGTGGGACTGGGCGCCGTCATACATGGCCCACCCGAAGGTGGCGGAGCGCAGGGCGCCCTCGCCAGCAGCTCGATCGGCGCCGTCGCAGTCCGCGGGCGCTCCCACGTCCCAAGTGGGAGCGGAGGCGGATTCACTTCCGCCTGGCGCTTGGCTATCGTCCGAATTAGAGCTTGCTTGTCGGCGATCAGGAGAGCTAGCTCGGCTGTGCAGGGCGCCAGCATGGCAGGGTCCGGCGCCACCTGCGCACGGCCCCGCGCGAGCGCTGGATTCTGAACCTGACTCTGCACCAGCGCCGGCTTCAGCCGCACCTCCGGCTTCAACTGCACACGTCGCTGAGCGGGACGCTCGGGCAGATGGGGCGACTCCGGAGGCAGTGGCGGAGGAGGAGGAGGAGGAGGAGGAGGAGGAGCAGGAGGAGGGGAGGAGGGGAACAGAAGGAGTAGGAGGAGGAGGAGGAGGAGGAGGAAGAAAGGGGAGGAGGAGGAGGAGGAGAGGAGGAGGAGGAGGAGGAGAGAGGCGAGGAGGAGAAGGAGGAGGAGGAGGAGGAGAAGGAGGGAGGAGAGGAGGGGGAGGGGGAGGAGGAGGACCACTGGCAGCGGCGTCCGCGGCCGCAGGACAGCGCGCCGCCCGAGTGCATCGCCCGCCCAGGGCTCGGAGCCAGCGCGCTGGTTCTTCCGGATGGTGTGGCCCGACGGCTGGCGCTCGTCCCTGGAAAAAGCCACCGCGCACCGCGCCGCGCGCTCCGCCAGAGCGATCTCGCTCACGAGCTCCAGCGCTTTCGAGCAGGAGGAGGAGGAGGAGGAGGAGGAGGAGGAGGAGGAGGAGGAGGACCGCGAGGGGGCGGGAGGCGCGAGAGGAAGAGGGCCGCGGCGCGGGAGTGGAGGGGGACGAGGGGAGAGCGCCACCTGGGCTGCGCGCAAGGGCCCATAGAGGCCCCGGGAGGCCCCGAGAAGGGCCAAGGCGGCCCGAGAGCTGCCCCACCCTGGCCGCGGGATGGCTCAGCTCTCGGCATGGGGGGGCCAGCGACAGAGGGCGCAGCCTGCGAGATGCACAGCAGAGCGACGTCAGGTCCCGAGTGCGGAGCACCGCCAGCAACACGTTTCTCAAATCTGGCGCCGCGCAGTCACCGAAATACTTCACAAATCGGACGCGCGGAAGCGGCATCGACCACACAGAGCAGCGCACCAAACAAAAAAAATGCGCGCGCTCATCTCTGCACGTCACCCTCCTCCTCCTCCTCCTCGTCGTCCTCCTCCTCCTCCTCCTCGATAAGAGCGGGAGGCACCGGGCCGCCGAGACCAGACGCCGCGAATCCAAGCACACGCGCAGACCTGTGCGCCAAAGATCCTGCGGAAGCTGACGGCCCCCTGATCGGCCCCCCCACGCGCGGACAAGACGCCGCGCAACAGGTTTCAACTCCTACATCTACACGGCCACTGCACTCACAATAGAAGACAATAGAGCGCCAAGACCTGAATGAACGGTTCTCGGGATATCTCGGTGCATGGGTGCACTCGGTTTGGGTGGATGGGTGTGCGTGTGTGTATGTCAAAGAGAATGTGTATGTGTATGTGTAGGTGTATCTGTAGATGTATGTGTATGTGTTTAAAATATTTGTATATGTACATGTACGTGTACGTGTAATAATACGTGTACGTGTACGTGTACGTGTACGTGTACGTGTACGTGTACGTGTACATGTACGTGTACGTGTACGTGTACGTGTACGTGTACGTGTACGCGTACGTGTACGTGTACGTGTACGTGTACGTGTAGAAGTACGTGTACGTGTACAAATACGTGTACGTGTACGTGTACGTGTACGTGTACGCGTACGTGTACGTGTACGTGAACGTGTACGTGTTCTTCTACGTGCACGTGTATGTGCATGTGTATGTGTATGTGTATGTGTACGTGTATGTGTTTGTGTACATGTTTGAACATATGTATGTGTATGTGAATGTATGTGTACATGTACGTGTATGTGCATGTGTGTACATGTGTATGTGCATATGTGTATGTGTATATGTGTATGTGTCTGTATATGTGTATGTGTGTGTGCATGTGTGTGCATGTGTGTATGTGTGTATGTGTATGTGCCTGTGTATGTGTATGTGTATGTGTATGTGTATGTGAATGTGAATGTGTATGTGTATGTGTATGTGTATGTGTATGTGTTTGTGCATGTGTATGTGTATGTATTTGTGCGCGCGTGAGTGCGCGCGCGTGGGGCGGGGAGGGGGCATGGAACTTTGGATATATGGATATACAGTAGGATGTCTGGGTGTATGGGTGAATGTGTGTGTGTGTGTGTCAGCATATATGTAGATGTCTAGATGCATGGTGTCTGCGTGTGTTGGTGACTAGGTGTTTGATTCCATGGGTGCACGGACGCATGGAAATCCGGACCCCCAGATGTAAAAACGCATGGATGTATGCATCCATGGATGCATGCATTTCTGGATGCATGGACCTCTGGGCGCCTGCATATCTGGATGCATGCGTGCATGGATGCGAAGGCGCGCGGATGCACTGGCCCCTAAATGTATGAACGCGTGGATACACGCATACCTGGATTGGCGCAGTTCTGGGTGTATGGGGGTATGGATGTATGACTGTATGCATATGTGGGCGTATGCATTTGTGACTGTATGGGCATCTGGATGCATGGATGTGCGCATGCGCATGGGGCCTCCTGTGGCCTCCAGGGCCGCTTATTTAGCGCCTCCTGGGGCCTCCTGTATCTTCCTGTGGCTTCCTGAAGCGAGGTCCTGTGACCTTCAAAGGCTTTTCGAGGGCTCCCGCTCGAGACTTTCACGCGATTCACGCAAAGACGAGGCTCCCGCTCGAGACTCCTTCCTCCAGAATCAAGCCTGGAAGGCCAAAAAGTGGCGCGGTAAAAAATGTGATGACCCCGCTCGGATTCCAACATGGAAGTAGAGAGCCTGTAGGGAAGGAAAACTCCAGTCGGCGGAACCCAATTACAAACATGAAGTGCGGGCCCCATAGGGAGGGGGACCCCCGCTTCAGACTTCCTCACGATGTGCCTTCTTGGGATGCTCGTGTGCTATACCTGGTAGAATAATCCGATAGTGAGGGGGCTCCCGCCTGAGACTTACAAGTTTTAGGATGACCCGCTCGGGTTCCTAACATGAACTGTGGGCTCCATAGGAAGGGGGCTCCTGCCTGAGACTCCCTCGCAATTCACTCACAGACGAGGCTCCCGCTTGATGCCTCCACCATATTCAAGCCTGAGGACCCCAACAACGACAACAGTTACAGGTTTGAAAAGGACCCGCTCGGATTACTAACATGAGCTGCGGGCCCCATAGGGAGGGGGGGGCACCTGAGAAATCCTCGCAATTCACGCACAGACGAGACCCTGGCTGAATACTTCCTCCACACTCAGGCCTGGGAAGCCCGAAAGTGATGACAGTTACAGGCTTCAGGATGACCCGCTCGGGTTACTAACATAAACTGTGGGCCCCGTAGGGAGGGGGCTCCCGCCTGAGACTTCTTCGCAAGTCACTCAAAGACGAGGCTCCCGCTGGATACTTCCTCCATGTTCAAGCATGCGGGGCCCAAAAAGTGACAGCAAAGCAAGTTTTTGGACGACCCACTCGGATTATGAACAAAAGCTACAGGCCCCCCAGTGAGGGGGCTCCCGCCTTAGACTTCCTCGCAATTCACTCACAGACGAGGCTCCCGCTTGATACTTCCTAGCCTGAGGGGCCCAGAAGTGACGAAAATCACAAGTTTTAGGATGCCCCGCTCGGATTACTAACATGAGCTGCGGGGCCCATGAGGAGCTCCCGCCTGAGACTCCCTCACGATTCACTCACAGACGAGGCTCCCGATTAATACTCCCTCCATGCTCAAGCCTAAGGAACCCAACAAATAACAACTTGTAGGGTAACATGAGCTGCGGCCCCACACGCAGGGGGCTCCCGCCTGATACTTCCTCGCAATTCACTTACAGACAAGGCCCCCGCTGAATATTTCTTCCACATTAATGCCTGAGGAGCCCAAAAATGCCGGGAGATACAAGTTTATGATAACATGCTCGGATTACGTTCTAGAGCTGCGGGCGCTATAGGGAGGGTGCTCCTGCCTGAGACTTCCTCGCAATTCACTCACAGGCGAGGCTCCCGCGCGATACTTCCTCCATAGTCAGACCTGCTGCCCAAAAGCGAAGACACATACAAGTTGTAGGTCGACCCGCTCGGATTACTCACATGAGCTGCGGGCCTCCATAGGGAAGGGGCTCCCGCTCGAGACTCTCCTCAAGGTGAGTACTTGAGTTTGTGAGTGTGTATGATGATGATGCGTGGTGATGATT